CAAGAATAGACCACATACTGGGTCACAAATTGGGTCTCAACCAACACCAAAAGATTGGGATTGTCCCCTGCATATTTTCAGACCACAATCCTTCGAAACTTGAACTCAATCACAAGAAGAAACTTGGAGGAAACTCAAACATGTGGAGGTTAAAGAGCATACTGCTAAAATATGAATGGGTCAACTACGAAATTAGAGAAGAATTAAAAAGATTCATGGGAAATCTTGTGTATCGTCCATTATCATGTGTAATCAATAAACGATTTAATATTCTCTTGAAAAAAAAGATTCATGGAAACTAATGAAAATGAAGATACAACTGTTTAAAATCTTTGGGACAGCAAAAGCAGTCCTAAGAGGGAAATATATCACAATACAAGCATCCCTCAAAAAAATTGGAAAAAATTCAAGTACACAAGCTAACCTTGCACCTAAAGGAATTGGAGAAAGAACAGCAAATAAAACCTACAACAAGCAGAAGAGAATTAATAAAGATTCAAGCAGAACTCAATGAAATAGAGACCAGAAGAACTGTAGAACAGATCAACAAAACCAGGAGTTGCTTCTTTGAAAGAATTAATAAGATACATAAACCATTAGCCAGACTTCTTAAAAAAAAAAGGGGGGGGGATCCCTGGGTGGCGCAGCGGTTTGGCGCCTGCCTTTGGCCCAGGGCGCGGTCCTGGAGACCCGGGATCGAGTCCCACGTCGGGCTCCCAGTACGTGGAGCCTGCTTCTCCCTCTGCCTGTGTCTCTGCGCCTCTCTCTCTCTCTCTCTGTGACTATCATAAATAAATAAAAAAAAAAATTAAAAAAAGGGCTCAAGTTAATAATTCAAGAATCAAAAAGGAGAGATCACAACCAATACCGAGGAAATACAAACGATTTTAAAAACATTTTATGAGCAGCTATATGCCAATAAATTAGGCAATCTAGAAGAAATTGATGCATTTCTGGAAACCCACAAACTACCAAAACTGGAACAGGAAGAAATAAAAAACCTGAACAGGCCAATAACCAGGGAGGAAATTGAAGCAGTCATCAAAAACCTCCCAAGACACAAAAGTCCAGCGCCAGATGGCTTCCCAGGGGATTTCTATCAAACGTTTAAAGAAGAAATCATACCTATTCTACTAAAGCTGTTTGGAAAGACAGAAAGAGACGGAGTACTTCTAAACTCATTCTATGAGGCCAGCATCACCTTGATTCCATTACCAGACAAAGACCCCACCAAAAAGGAGAATTATAGACCAATATCCCTGATGAACATGCAAAAATTCTCAACAAGATACTAGCCAATAGGATACAACAGTACATTAAGATTATTCATCATGACCAAGTGGGATTTATCCCGGGGATGCAAGCCTGGTTCAACACTCATAAAGCAATCAACATGACAGATCATATCATCAAGAGAAAAACAAGAATCATATGATCCTCTTCAGATGCAGAGAAAGCATTTGACAAAATACAGCATCCATTCCTGATCAAAACTCTTCAGAGTGTAGGGATAGGGAACATTCCTCAGTGTCTTAAAAGCCATCTATGAAAAGCCCACAGCAAATATCATTCTCAATGGGGAAGCACTGGGAGCCTTTCCCCTAAGATCAGGAACACGATAGGGATGTGCACTCTCACCACTGCTATTCAACATAGTACTAGAAGTCCTAGCCTCTGCAATCAGACAACAAAAAGACATTAAAGGCATTCAAATTGGCAAAGAAGAAGTCAAACTCTCCCTCTTCGCCGATGACATGATACTCTACATAGGAAACCCAAAAGACTCCACCCCAAGATTGCTAGAACTCATACAGCAATTTGGCAGTGTGGCAGGATACAAAATCAATGCCCAGAAGTCAGTGGCATTTCTATACACTGACAATGAGACTGAAGAAAGAGAAATTAAGGAGTCAATCCCATTTACAATTGCACCCAAAAGCATAAGATACCTAGGAATAAACCTAACCAAAGAAGTAAAAGATCTATACCCTACAAACTACAGAACACTTCTGAAAGAAACTGAGGAAGACACAAAGAGATGGAAAAATATTCCATGCTCATGGATTGGAAGAATTAATATTGTGAAAATGTCAATGCTACCCAGGGCAATTTACATGTTTAATGCAATCCCTATCAAAATACCATGGACTTTCTTCATAGAGTTGGAACAAATCATCTTGTGGAATCAGAAAAGACCCTGAATAGCCAGGGGCATATTGAAAAAGAAAACCAGAGCCAGGGGTATCACAATGCCAGATTTCAAGTTGTACTACGAAGCTGTGATAATCAAGACAGTATGGCACTGGCACAAAAAGAGACACATAGATCAATGGAATAGAATAGAGAATCCAGAAATGTGCCCTCAACTCCTTGGTCAACTAATATTCGACAAAGCTGGAAAGACTATCCACTGGAAAAAGGACAGTCTCTTCAATAAATGGTGCTGGGAAAATTGGACATCCACATGCAGAAGAATGAAACTGGACCACTCTCTTACACCATACACAAAGATAAACTCAAAATGGATGAAAGATCTAAATGTGAGACAAGAACCCATCAGAATCCTAGAGAAGAACATAGGCAACACCTTTTTTGAACTTGGCCACAGGAACTTCTTGCAAGATACATCCATGAAGGCAAGGAAACAAAAGCAAAAATGAACTATTGGGACTTCATCAAGATAAAAAGCTTCTGCACAACCAAAGAAACAGTCAACAAAACTAAAAGACAACCTACAGAATGGGAAAAGATATTTGCAAATGATATATCAGATAAAGGGCTACTATCCAAGATCTATAAAGAACTTATTAAACTCAACGGCAAAGAAACAATTCAATTATGAAATGGGCCAAAGACATGAACAGAAATTTCCAGAGGAAGACATACTCTTGGCCAACAAGCACATGAGAAACTGCTCTGCATCACCTGCCATCAGGGAAATACAAATCAAAACCACAATGAGATACCACCTCACACCAGTGAGAATGGGGAAAATTAACAAGGCAGGAAACAACAAATGTTGGAGAGGATGTGAAGAAAGGGGAACCCTCTTACACTGTTGGTGGGAATGTGAACTGGTACAGCCACTCTGGAAAACTGTGTGGAGGTTCCTCAAAGAGTTAAAAATAGAACTGCCCTACGACCCAGCAATTGCACTACTCGGGACTTACGCCAAAGATACAGATGCAGTGAAACACTGGACACCTGCACCGCAATGTTTATAGCAGCAATGTCCGCAATAGCCAAACTGTGGAAGGAGCCTCGGTGTCCATCAAAAGACGAATGGATAAAGATGTGGTTTATGTATACAATGGAATATTAGCCATCAGAAACGACAAATATCTACCATTTGCTTCAATGTGGATAGAACTGGAGGGTATTATATTGAGTGAAGTCAGTCAGTCGGAGAAGGACAAACATTATATGGTCTCATTTATTCGTGGAATATAAAAAATAGTGAAAGGGATTAAAAGGGAAAGGAAGAAAATGAGTGGGAAATATCAGTGAGGGTGACAGAACATGAGAGACTCCTACTCTGGGAACCGACCAAGGGGTGGTGGAAAGGGAGATGAGTAGGGGGTTGAGGGATGGCAAATCGAACTCCAATAAAAACATATACAAAAAAAAAAAAAAAAGATGGGGCAATACCACCACATGTATATGGTGAACAAAGTAACTGCCTAAAGGTAAGGTAGGAATTGATGAGCAGTGGCAGGGTCTAAAGGATCCTGAGACTGTTGTACTGTTGTACATTACGGCCCTTCTGCAGCTGTTCACAGAGACCCACCTCCAGCAAGCCTGCCCCAGTGAAAACCCCCACCACCTGGGCCCCAGTCCCCCACTTTTTGCCTTCTTGACTCAGACACTCCTGCAAGTTTCCATGGTGTTTGTTCTGCATTCCCAGTGGACACCCCACACTACTACAGGACAGAACCTCTGAATCATCTATACACTGTTGAAGAATCCCAAACTGTTCCTTACATCAATCTTTGGTTTTGGCAAAAAGACACACAGCAACCCAGGATCTGATATGCTCCTATTTTGGAGTCTGTACCCAAAAGTCAGGCACCTCCACAATGTCATAACATAAAAGTAACGTCTGTCACGATCTACATACTCTAAGACTCAAGTATTGTCTAATGCAACGTCCCAGTATGTCGTTTGTATCCCACAAAACACCATACCTTCAGTAATGTTTTGCCCTTAATAATGAGATCCTCCACCAAAACCACTACAGATTGCCCCCCAAGTGGTGACATTTTCTCTTCAACCCCTTATGGGTCCTAAGAAACCCCAGCGAAGTCAACCAGGTAAACACCAGAGGGCGTGTCCTGAATCCACCCCCTGGGGATTCAGGCACAAACTGCCCCAGGGCTGGTCCTTGTAAACTGACTCAGCTACACGGAGCAGCAGCCTCTTCATCACAGCAGCCGGCTGGGCAGCCAGTGTCCGATGTCTGGTCAGTGCCGGAAAGAAAAGCCTGCTCCTTCCCTCAAATTGGACCAACTCCGGAAAGTCACCCCACCTCCGGAGCTCCCAGCGGAGCCCTCAGCCTTACAATGGAGTCTGGATTTTTTCCTGAGGGCAACAGGAAGCCAATGAAGGGATTACAGCCAGGGGACGCCCTCCCTGCTCTGTTAGTCCGTCTGCGACCTCCGTCACCCTTCGCCCCTCCTGCCGTCCCCGCATCACCTGTCTACCAAGGTCCCAATTCTTCTATTCCTCCCCCATTGTCTCAGAAGATGAATCTGCTCCTTGCTGCCCCACTCCTATCACCAGTTAAGGCCGCTCTCGTCCAATGTGCTATCCTTCACCGCCCTGGAGATATATTTTAATCTAGATTCCTCTATTTTTTTTTTCCTACTTCCACTTTTCTCTGGCTCGCTCCACTCTTACGGTCTCTCCACATCCACCCTCTCTTTCTTCCTTCCTTCCTCTCACACGTAGTCTTTCTTATTCTCCCTCAGACTCTCTGCTTCGCCCCGCACCCTCACACTCACAGGTACGGACTGCAGACGTCCTTTGCCCGGGAAGAACACTTTCCAGGAGGGCTTCAGGAACGCACACACACCGTGACACGCACGGCCAGTGGCATGCAGGTTGTGCGGAAGGCACTCCTAAGGCGGGGAGTAGTACAAAGTGCAGTGCTAAGGCGGAGGGCGGGCTCCGGAGTTGGTGCAGATGGAGGCGGCGTCAGGAGAGAGAGGTGTGCCTGCAGAACCCCAAGGCCATGGAGATGTGGGGTCGAGGTCTGCACGATCGCGTCCGCCCTGGGGGCCAGCGAGGAAAGACTTTACACAGCGTGGCGGAGAGGGGAAGGGCCGGAGGTGCGGGAGTCCGGGAAGGGTTTTCAGCAGGAAAGAGACCCGGCAGGCGCTGTCTACCTGGACGGAAGGCGGAAAGGCTGGGGGGCGGGAACGCGCCTCAGCGATTTTAACTCGAAACAGACTTGGACCCCTGGATCCGCAGTGGAGCTCCCAAGCCTGGAGTGTCTGACGGTGCTGCCGGGACAAGCGGGCGAAGGCATTTTAACGTACGTGGAGACCCCGGAATCCCGGGTGCTGCGGCTCGGAGCCGGGGGCGGGGGGAGCGTCCCGCAGAGACCACTGAAGAACCAGAAAATCTGACACCACTTACCTGATGGTGCCCTTCGCTCCGCTTCCGGGTCTCTGCAGGAGAGTGCGCGTGTGCAGCTTGGGGGGGGGGGCGGGGACAAGCCGCGACGGTGGCCTGGACTGGGCAAAAAGTGCGCAGCTGAAGGGACGTGGCCAAGCTTAGGGGCGGGGTCTGGACCTCCGCGCAGCCTCCGGACGTTTCCCGCCCTTTCAGCCCAATAATACCGTACTTTCCGCTTTTGAATTTCTTTTAATTTCTTTGGTGTCTCACGGACCGAACAGTCTCCTGGCTATTTTAAATTAATATTTCAAACGACTTAAAATGAAAGACCAGGGATCCCTGGGTGGCGCAGCGGTTTGGCGCCTGCCTTTGGCCCAGGGCGCGATCCTGGAGACCCGGGATCGGATCCCACGTCGGGCTCCCGGTGCATGGAGCCTGCTTCTCCCTCTGCCTGTGTCTCTGCCTCTCTCTCTCTCTCTCTCTGTGACTATCATAAATAAATAAAAATTAAAAAAAAAAAAAAAAAAAAAAAAAATGAAAGACCAGAGTTGTGAGAGAGTTGTGAGAGCCAAGATGTTTTCCTGTTAAATTGAAAACGGTTTAAGTCAAAGCGCTCTTTGCCAGCAGGCAGTGTTGGAATATAATTAAAAACAACATCGTCTCCCATCCCAGCAATCCTCTCCACAAAGGCAGTAGAGAAAGAGAACATTTTCATTAGTGAATAAGCATTAAACCAGAACGTGATGTGCATCACAGGCAATCTTGAGAGATTGCAAAGATGAATCTCACCCTGTCACAAAGGACCAGGAGATACAACCTATTACATACATGTTCCCAAGATAGATCATAACTAGTCCTCAAGAAGACATAACAGCACCATTTGTCACACATAGTTCATCCTAACATCATCAGGTAATCAGGGTGGCCATTTGTGTTAGCTAATTGGCTTTAACCAGAAGGAAAACAAACTTCTCATATCTTTATGAAAGGAGGGAGTTTTGCAACTTGGAGCAAGGCATCTGCTTAGTTAGGCACCTATCCTCCCTCTCTCCTTTGATGTTTACATTTTTTTAAGATTTATTTATTTATGATTTATTTATTTATTTATGACAGAGAGAGGCAGAGACACCGGAGGAGGGAGAAGCAGGCTCCATGCCGGGAGCCCGACGTGGGACTCGATCCGGGGACTCCAGGATCGCGCCCTGGGCCAAAGGCAGGCGCTAAACCGCTGAGCCACCCAGGGATCCCCTGATTTTTACATTTCAAAGGGATGACTCACAGATCCTCGAAAGCAAACATTCCGGAGTTACAAAGTTGGCAAGAGCCTTATTTAGCTTTTCAAAGACTTACATACATTTCAAACAGGAAGACAAAGAACTTACAAGTTTTCTAAGGGAAATGCTCTAGGAAACAGGAGGAAGAGAAGGCCCTTCCCACTTCTTTCAAGAGAGACCTGCTTTCTGTCTCTCATTTTTAGTTTATATTTTTCCTTACAGAAACAACATGCATTCATTCACTAAAGCAATATTGTTTTTTTAACATCCGCGACATGCTCACAAGAATGTGTGCACTACGTGTCAAGAACCGTGCTGGGAACCTCACATAAATTATGTGAGTTAATTCTTGTAATACCTTAGGAATTGGGTTTTATATATCAATTTTCCTCTGGAGGATTTAGGTGCTGGGCTTTGCCTTTCTGTGGGTAGAGATTCTCCTTGTCTCTTCTGTTTCCTTTCCCTATGACTGATCATTAAAATGGTCTTCATATGACTGTACCTCAATATTCACAGAAGAAAAGAAAGCAAAGGAGTGGTGAGATTAGTGGTTCTGAGGGGTTTAATGATGTTCATTTGTGTTCATGTATTTTGTTAACATGTGGAGCAACCAGTGGGCCCCCAATAGTTGGAGACACTGTGCTTCGAGGAATTTCCTATGCATAGGTTAAAACCAAAAGAGCAAATTTTCACTTATCAAATCTAGGACTTTTGCTCCCTTTTATGTGCATCTGTGTGTCCAGAAAATGTGAGTGCCAGTCCTGGATAGGCAGCCAGAGGAGTTGCCTTGAACTAAGTTCTCTAAGCAGTTCTCAGGAGGTAGGACCTCAGGATGGGAGTGAACGGGAGGAGTGCAAGAGGCAAATTCCATACCTAAGAGGTTATCTGAGAGAATATCTGTTCTGACCATTCTGTTAGACCCTGGAGACCCCAGCTTGGCAGAAGAGACTGCCTTCCCGGCTGCAGATTCTGGAGGCAACTGAGCTCTGTGTGAACGCTTATGTAAGGCCAGAGGTGTGACATAGAAATCTAGGAAATTTTGAGAGGAGCAGTTTTCGCTAGCACCCTCTAGCTAGTAAGGGTTTCTTACTTTTTGATAGCATGGGGTAGTTGTGGGCAGCAAGTGCCAGCCTCTGTGCAGTTTAGAGACACATGGATTGTGGAGGATGCTGTACTCAGGCCCTGAGGGGCTGTCCACTTCCCTGGGTGTTTGTGCATGCTGGAGGGTTTGGACAGGAAGGAAGAGGCAGAAAGAGGCAGAGTAAGGGAAATCAAGTAGGGGACAGCACGGGATGGTGGTAGGACTGGTTTGTGCTACATATTCCTGTCCAGGCAGGGCTGAGTACTGCAGCTTCTTCTTGTGCACTTAGGGCCATATTGGATTCTGGTTGAGTGTTGAGAGCTCCAAATCAGTAGAGGGACCAATTTGTTGCTGCATGTTTGGATCCTGGGTAAGGGGTGCAAGGACGGTAAACACTCTTTTGAGCACAGGCGCTTAACTTGGGCAAGAACTTATAGCAGTGCAGGCACAGTGGCGAATGACTTCTGAGGGCAGACTCTGGTCCTACAAGAGGAGGAGCCACGCCGAGGTCCCCTTCTGAATCACAGGTGTGGATGCCAAGTGTCACCTGGCATCTCTGTGGCCCATCTTGGTGCCCAAAGACCCTAAATTCCCTGGAGAAGCCTAGTCCCAAAGACGTGATCAGCTGAGGTCCTGCCTCCTCCCAGTGACCCTGATTTTTAAATACTATTTGTATTGCCCAATCTGGACTATAAAACTCATGACTTGTCTTCAGATTTTTTTTCCCATGATTAATTTAAAAAGAGCAAAAAGAGGGGCTCCTGGGTGGCTCAGTAGTTGAAGGCCTTTGACTCAGGTTGTGATCCCAGGTCCTGGGATTGAGTCCTGCATGGGGCTCCCTATAGGGAGCCTGCTTCTCCCTCTATGTCTCTGCCTCTCTGTGTGTTTCTCATGAACAAATAAAGTCTTTAAAAAAAACACCTTAAAACATTAACTTAAAATAGAAATCAACGCTATTAGAAGGAAAGGAAAGGAAGAAAAGAAAGAAAAAGAAAGAGAGAAAGAAAAGAAAAGAAAAGAAAAGAAAAGAAAAGAAAAGAAAAGAAAAGAAAAGAAAAGAAAAGAAAAGAAAGAAATCAACGCTATTTCCCAGAAGAAACAGGACTCAAATTTGCCTAAACCCTAAACACCTGGCAGAGTCCCAGGCCCCGCCCCCCACGCCAGCCCCGCCCCAGTCTAGCGTCATTTCCCCCAACGCCTCATCTCTATGGTTACCACCCGCCACTGATGCCCCGCCTCCCCCACCCGCGGTCCCTGCGCACGCCTCTTTTCGTTCCGTGCCCCGCCCCGGGCCTGCCTCTTCCCTCTGCGCGTGCGCAGTGCTCTACAGTCTCGGAAGCGGGTTTCGTGGAGCGGAGGCCCGTCTGTGGAGAGTGAGTCTCGTTTTTCTTGTTTAAACCTGCGCCTCGCAGTCCCGCTTCTTCATCTCCGGGGTGCAGAGGGCAGGTAAAATCCCTGCACCACCTCCTCCAGCCCAAGAAAATTCAGACATCTCCCTGGGAGACCGGGGGCGGGGGGGGGGCGGTGCTTCTCTTAGGGTTTGAAATCCGCGAGGTGGTCCGGCCGGTCCTCCGCAGCAGCGGGCTCCCAGCTGGGCCGGGAGGTTCTGGCGAGCCCAGCCCTTCCCGGGACACACGCACTTCCCTCACCCCGCGTCCTCCTCAGCCTCCCCGCGTCGGTCCCCGCCTCTGCCCACCTTGTGTTGACGAGGTGACTAACAAGGGCCTGTCTTGATACAGACCGTGCACCCCGCCGTGGATAACGTGCTCTCGTGGGAGGCGGGCATCGTATTACATCCCACTCCTGGGTGGGAGGAACCCGGAGAAGGAGAGGAGCTGTCCACCGTAAAAAAACAAAAGTCAGTCACTTTACTAGCAAGATGAGTTTATTCTGGAAGAAGCAGAGGAATTGCAGTTCGGGACGTGCATGGAGTGGTGAACCATCGTAGGCGAGTGGGGAGAGAAAAGGAAGGTCAGCCTTTTATTTTTAGATGGAAATTGGGGAGGATTGCTTTAATTGGAGAAGAGCAAGAGTTGGTGGCGGTTTTTCAGTGGCTGCAAGTGGTGGTTAGTGCGTTTGTTGCTGAGCAGGATGGGATCTTCGTTTTCGTACAAGCAGAAGAAAATCTGTAAAAAAAAAAAAAAAAAGCCCTCCTTTGTTAAAATAATTCTTCATGCTGGTAAAGCAAGCTGCAGGGCGTGGTACTTGGCTCCCACTCCAGGGCTTCCCTATTCTATTTTATTTATTTATTTATTTATTTTTAGAGATTTTATTTATTTATTCATGAGAGACACAGAGAGAGACAGAGACACAGGCAGAGGGAGAAGCAGGCTCCCTGTAGGGAGCCCGATGCAGGACTCCATCCCAGGACCCTGGGATCACGACCTGGGCGACCTGGTCGACCTGGTCGGAAGGCAGATGCTCAACCACTGAGCCACCCAGGTGCCCCTCCCTGCTTCATTTTAAATGAGGTTTCCTTATTTATTTTCACAAGACCTGCTGAGAGAATTATAGAAAAATGAACAAAGAAGAATGAGGGAGAACCACAGACGACATTGGGAATAGTAGCAGTGGGAGAAGAGAAGATGGAGAAATTTAGAGTAAGAAGGAAATTTCCAAGGAGATGATGAAGAGCAAAATGTAGAGAAGAGCCCTTGATGTACAGGAGCATGGGTAACAAAGGGGGAGGCCCTTCACAGGCAGTGAGGGGAGAGGTTAAAAGAGTTGGAGTCTTGGCAGGGGCGCCTGTGTGGCGGAGTTGTCAAGCATCAAACTCTTGGTACCTTCTCAGGTCATGATCTTAAGGACTTTGGATGGAGCCTCAAGTCCGGCTCCATGCTCAGAAGGGAGGCTTTCAGGATTCTCCCTCTCCCTCAGCACCCCACCACCACCACCCTGCGCCCTGTCTGTCTCTCTCTCTCTCTAAAATAAATACATCTTGGGGCACCTGAGTGGCTTAGTCAGTTGGCCATCTGCCTTCCCCTCAGGTCATGGATCAAGCCCCACATCGGGCTCCCTGCTCTCAGGGGAGTCTGCTTCTCCCTCTTCCTCTACCTGCCGCTTCCCTTGCTTGTGCTTGCTCGCTCTCACTTTCTCTCTCTCTCTCTCTCTCTGTCTCTAATAAATAAAATACGTGATCTTAAAAAACAAAAAAGGAGTTATGGCAGACAGAGAGTGTGGAGCTGGAGGAAAGGAGGGAGCAATGGGCTACAGGAACAGAGGGAAGAAGCCAACCAAGCTGGGGGTGCCTGACAGTGGGGACAAAGGGAGATTAGCAGAGAAAGCACAAAAGGCTTATGCATTTGATTAATTATATCAGAAAATAACTTCTATTTGCAGTCCTTGTTCAGTGAAGAGGGCAGAGACTTGGGTCACCTTCCTCCCTTTGCCTGGGCTCAGAGCAGAAAAGTGGGGCAAGAAATGACTGTCACTACACGGTGCCTTTTTCTTTTTTTAAAGATTTTATTTATTTATTTGAGAGAGAGAGAGAGCACAAGCAGGGGGAGCAGCAGAGGCAGAGGGAGAAGCAGAATCCCCACTGAGCAGGGAGTCCAGTGTGGGTCTCAATCCCAGGACCCTGAGATCATGACCTGAACTGAAGGCAGACTTAACCGACTGAGCCACCCAGGCACCCCTACACGGTGTCTTTCAGGAACATTAAAGTGTTGCTTTTTTGTAATAGCTGTGCTATACTTTACTCTCCCTTATTCGTTTATATTTACATCACTTTTCTTTTTGAAGCTTGAAATAAATCTTGGTTATTTAAATTATACTTTTCTATAAAAAATTATTTACTTCTGAAGTAAGCTTTGGAGCCATCCTATAAACAGTCGATGGCATTTTCTAAATATGACCTTACCATTTTTAAAATTTTTGATCTCATATTTCTTTAAAAAAAATTTTTTTTAACTTTCTGCTTTTAAGTTAATTTTGTCTAGTTCAGGCTGAGATCTGCCAGCTCTCCTCTCTTTGTCGTATATATTGAGAACATTTTATGGTATCTGGTAAGTAATTATAGATTTTTTCCAATGTGTCCTTGGTAAATATGTGGTAAATATTCTTTTATCTAAGTGGAACCTGGTTTAAACTGTTACTCTGATACTCAATTTTCTTTCGTTTTGTGTTGATCTATTGAAACAGTGGGCCATGAGTGGACCAGGTAGATATTCCTCTCAAGTTCCTCTTGTCCACTCTTTGCAAATGTTGAAGAATGGGCTGATTTATTTGGAAATATCAGCTAACATACCATACCCATCTGATGAGGAAATTTGTGACTATCTTGTTTCTGTAGGTGACCCTCCTGCAGTGTTTACAGCAGTGATTCCTAGGTGTCCAAAATTCTGTATTTTGTAAATATTTTACTGTGATGTTCTGGAAAAGAGACATTTATTGCCTGAGATCACTGTGATCATATCTTGAAATAAGTTTCCTAGGGAAGCCTGGCTGGCTCAGTTGGTAGAGCATGCAACTCTTGACCTCAGGATCATGAGTTTGAGCCCCATGTTGGGTTTAGAGATTACTTAAAGAACAGAAAAGTGGGGCACCTGGGTGCCTCTGGCTCAGGTCATGATCCCAGGGTCCTGGGATTGAGTCCTGCATCAGCCTCCCAGCAGGCAGCCTGCTTCTCTCTCTGCCTATGTCTTTGCCTCTCTCTCTGTCTCTCATGAATAAATAAATAGTCTTTTAAAAAAAAGAAGAAGAAGAAGAAGAAGAAGAGAAAAGAAATAGGTGTCTCCTTTGTTGAGACATGTGAAAGATGGTCCTAGAATTTTTAAGAAAAGTGATGCAGGCAAACCCCCTGCCCACTGGCCCCATCAGGCCACCATATGAGAATTCAGTTACATCAAGTTCTGCTTACCCAGCGCCAACCTTCTCAGGATAACTTTATGAAATGACTCCCTTGTAGGCCTCCATGAGCCCACTCCAACATGAGATGATGGACTACACAGAAACGGATTTTGAACAACACTTAATTGTTTAGCAAATTCAATGCATATCTTTGTGTAGCAGTTCTTGGATGGAGTGCCCAGTTGTCATTAGAATTTTAAATAGGGGGCAGTATGTGCCTGGGGAGCTCAGTTAAGCATCTAATTCTTTTTTTTTTTTAAATTTTATTTATTTATTCATGATAGAGAGAGAGAGAGAGAGAGAGGCAGAGACACAGGCAGAGGGAGAAGCAGGCTCCATGCAGGGAGCTCGACGTGAGACTCGATCCCGGGACCCCGGGGTCACGCCCTGGGCTGAAGGCGGCACTAAACCGCTGAGCCACCTGGGCTGCCCTAAGCATCTAATTCTTGATTTGGGGTCAGGTTATGATCTCAGGATTGTGAGATGGAGCCCCACAGTGGGTTCCCAACTCGATGTGGAGTCTGCTTGAGATTCTCTCCCCTGTCCCCTCCCCTGTGTACATGCATGCCTGTTCTCTCTCTCTCTCTCTCTCTCTCTCTCTCAAATGAGTAAATAAATCTTAAAAAAAAAGAATTTTAAATGGGTCCCAGTCCTCCAAAAGTGAAACATAAAACATTAGTATGGAGGCAGAGACATAGCCTCCGAGTCCTAGACCATCATTATGTGTCTATCTCTGCAGCAGGAGTAAATCTGTAGGCAGACGATGTCACTTGCTGGCACTGAACCCTCTACAGGCCTCCTGTTATCATCAGGACAAAATGCAGATTCCTCACTATCGCTACACAGCCCTGTATGATGATCAGGGTCTCCAGCCTCATCCTGGGAACTTCACAGTGCACACAGCTCACTCTGCCCCAGTCACATTCACCTTCTCTCTGTTCCCAAATACCAGCCTTTTCTGTCACAGGACCTCATCCCTGCCCTTCCCTTCTGTCTCTAAATCATCTTGGCTCTGGCCCTTTCTCCTCATGTAGGTTTAGGCTCAGCAATGTGTGTCTAGCCTCTCCCACCCATCCTCTGCAGTGCCCTTCCCTGGCCAGCTTCCATGTTCTGCAGGTTGAATTGTCTCCATGTCAATCACCCAATATGAGAAAAGCTCTCCTCCTTTGACTGTTTGAAGTCTTTCCTGTTTTCCTTCCACTGGAGGGCACACAAGTTGGCTGCCTCACCTTCTCTTGGGGTTGTGTTTAGATACTAGGGCTGTGGATTGGGCTGAGTAGTCCTCAGGAAGACCAAGGAGCTAGGGCAGGTGATGAGGACAGTGCCCATATTTGTTCTGGAAAATTTAACACATTGATCTAAACCTCCTGTGGCTGCTTATTTTACTCAACATAAGAGCAAAAGGATGTACTGAAGCCTGGAAAGCCCTGTGGACCACAGGTCCCCAGTATTTTACCTGTGGTATCACTGCCCTCTGCCAGTTCCTGGGTTGTCCTTGCTGAGCACATCACAGGGAGCAGCTGCATCCTGGGTGAGGGCTTTGCCTTCCAGCAGTTGATCTGCTCAGGGTCGAGGATCCTAATTTCCCTTCAGGAAAGGTGAGGACAAGGTCAGGAGCCTAAGAGGGCACAAAATAGACAGGCTGAAGAACTAGAGATTCTTGTAATTTGCTGTGAGTGGGGAGAGGAGGAGACCTGGTGGCCTCTGTTAGGAGATCTATGGGCTTCTTTCTCTGACATCCTCATTGGACTCCCATATTGTCCCCAGTTGCTCACAAGTGTTCCCAGCAGGGCCAACCTCTTGATCTCCATACTGGAGGCCCAGTGGCCCTCAGTGTGCACTTGTGTCCATTAATGCTGCAGAGCCTGTGTCCATTGGTCCCTGTGCCTTAGCCCAGTTCACTCGTGTGCAGGAAGATGAGAAGATGGAAGTGGCCTAGAGGGTCTGCAGGAGCCATGTGGGAGCAAGTGTGGGCCTCCAGATGGCCCAGTGAATGGTGTGTGCACATGTCCCAGGCTCAGTTGTAGGATCGAAGGATGTGTGAAACTTTGGGAGGGGTGTCTCAGTTCTAGCGGGAGCACCCAGAAGAGGGCTTATAGGTATTTGGGGGGGCTGTATGGGTCCATTCAGGGTGCCGTTGTCACAGCTCAGGTTCCCTGGGACACAGAAGCTGAGACTGAGATTTGCCTGCTGGATTTAACTGGGAGACTCAACATGGCACCCAAGGGAGCATGATGGGAGTGGGCTTAGAGACACATTACTCTATGCTGCGTTCAGAGGGAGGACTGGCCACAGCAGATGGCACCTTGGTCCTGAGTGCGTGGACCCAGGAGGTGCCACCCAGCATCCACTCCACATAATGACCTCTGTGGGGTCTTTGCAAGAATTATTCATTGACTTTTTGCAAGAATCATTGTCCAATTCAGAGGATTTGGAGAAAAGGTCTCAGAGAACCTTCAGGGGATGACTTTGCTATTTTGGATTATTTTGCGTTGCAAGTTAAGAATGATTCATATCTGTTTTGGGAAATCTAAATGAGAATTTGCAGTGTTTTTGGAAGATGTCGAGGTCTTGTTGGGGTATGTGCATCCTTGTAGACATCTGTTGAAAGGGAGGAGAGTGGTCTGAATGAAGGACTCTAGGCTGGCTGGATGTCTGTCTGTCTTTCTTTTCTTTCTTTTTTTCCTTTTCTTCCCTTTTCCCTTTCCTTTCCTTTTTCCTTTCCCCTTTCCTTTCCTTTCCTTTCCTTTCCTTTCCTTTCCTTTCCTTTCCTTTCCTTTCCTTTTTCCTTTCCTTTCCTTTTTCCTTTCCTTTCCTTTCCTTTTTTTTTTTCATGTAAGCTTTATGCCCAACATGCAGCTTGAATTTACAACCCTGAGACCAAGAGTCACATGTTCTCCTGACTGAGCCGGCCTGGTGCCCTGGACTCATGGCTTCCCACTCCCCCCTTTGCTCCTGGTCAGCTCCCCCTACCCTCATGATGAAGACTATTCCAAGGGCAAACAAAACCCATGCATATTTCAGTCCCCCATAAGAAGGCCACGCCAGAGGATGTACCAACACCACTGTGGGCCTGAGATTGTTCCCCAGTTGCCAGCCCCATTCAACATCTCAGGACCATATGGCATCCTTCCTCCACTGCATCTTCAATTTGTACATCTCAGGAATCATCTCAGTCCATATACACAGAGGGAGATTTTGCCCATCTTTCACATGCGCATGCACCTCCCTCAAAGCTTTGTACTCACTGTCTTCTTGCATCTCTAAAACAAAACATTCTGTTAACTAATTTCACTGCTAGTTAAAACTCTTTTCCGTAATCCATTTCCTTTTTTTTTTTTTAATGTTTCAAGTTTTTATTTAAATTCTAGTTAGTTAACCTATAGTGTTAGGTTAACTCCACCTACAGTGGAGTATTAGTTTCAGGAGTAGAATAGTGACTCATCTCTTACATACAACACCCAGTGCCCCTCATAAGTGCCCTCCTAGATCCCCATCATCCATTTAATTTAGCCCATTCCCTCCCCACCTTCTGCTCCCTTCCAGAACCCAAGCCGCTAAAAGTTGGCTTTTACTGTCTTCATATCTTGTCTCCACTTGTCATAGGAACCCCATCCGGTCAAGCCTTCAACAATCACTATGCCCCTGAGACTTTCTCTTTCAGAATCACCAGGGACCCCATTTCTCAGCCCAGGATTGAATCTCCTGGCATCATCCTGCTTTTCCTGTCAGAAGGAGGTGGCACATGAGACCACTCTCTCTTCCTTGACACGTTTTTCCTTGGTTTAAGGACATCCCACTAACCTTGACTACTCTACCTACCTTTTGGTTTTCCTGATCACCTCTCACCTTCCCTGCTGGTATCTGCTGAACTGCCTGGTCTCTGAGTGTGGGGCACCCCACAGCTTAATCCTTGTACCTCTTCTCTGTCTACCCCCTGCCTTTCCTCATCACCTCATCTCCTGGCTCTCAACATCACCTGCATATGTCCCAGTTTCCCCTCTCCTCCAGACTTCTGCCCTAAACTCCATCCCATGTCCAGCTGCTTCTACATCTCTGCTGGAACATCTGGGGCATGTCCATCTTATTTGTGCAGAACTGGCTCAAGCTCCCCCAGTCACCCTCCTGCACCCCCCACATCCAGGTTAAGGGTGACCCTGTACTTCCTGAGGCCTAGGTGCACATCTTGGCGTGATTCTAAGTATAAGATACTATATTATTTGTAAATGTTTTAATGTATAAGATGAAAAAAGTTTGATGTTTGCTTAAAGTGAGAGGAGGAATACATGTTTTCTAAACTTCTTTCAAGATGTGAGAGGCAAATGTTGGAAGACCGAGCCCTTCCCCATCTGCTACCCCAGCTGCCTCTCTGACCTCCTCTCCTGCTGGTCCCCTCCTTACCCTGCTGCAGCCATGCTGGCCTCTTCCCTTCCTCGGGGCCAGGCTTGCTCCTGCCTCAGGGCCCTCCCAGGGCCTATTCCTCTGCCTGGGAGGCTCCTCAGATACAGGTGGCAAACAGCATCCTCCCTCGAGTCCTCGATCTGATACTATCTTCTCTGATACCCCTTGATTCCCTTCCTGTTTCCTCTGCCCCTTCCCCTTCCAGGTCTGGGCCCTGGTGACAGCAGGCTCCCAGGGAGACCAGAGCCAGAAGGTGGGAAGTGTCTGGGCTGGCCTGTGTGCTCCACCCAGCTGCACCCTGGATGGCTGAGTCGTTTTGCAGATACCATTCTTGTGCCCTCTCCCAGAGATTCCCCTTCCATTGGTCAGGGGTGTGGGGGGATAGGGCCCAGCCTCAGTTCTAGTAAAGTGTCCCAGGTGCTCCTGATGGGTCTCCAGCATTGAGCAGCAAAGCCCTGGGTCCTCCGTTTCTGAGGCTGACAGCAGCTCCTGATCCAGGGAGAGGGGAGGGGGCCCTGCTCTGTGTGGGGTGTGGTCAGGACGGGTCTGTGACCTGGAAGGGAGTGTGGGTCCAGCCCAGGTCCCCACTGCTGCAGTGAGGGGAGGACTTCCCTAGGGCAGGGGCAATTGTGAAGAATGTGCTGGGAACACTTGTGTTGGTGTCTGGAGGGGTTCATGGTCCCTGAGTCTCCTCCTGTGGCAGTGGCAGCAGGGACTGTTGTCTCCCCAGGGAGAGGTCTTCCTGTGTGAGATTGTGGTACAGGAAGGACAGAGATTGATTCTAAGCATTCAGCTGCATATTCTTGACCCTCAGGACTGAATTCTCAAGACTGATCTTGTCTGAGGAAGAAGGAGGAAGGGAGGAGTCAGGCATGGCTGTTTGTCAGGTAAAGTCATATTGTTGGTTGTTTTTCCATCTCTCCCTCCTACTGTGCCCATCTCTTCTTGGACTCATTCATCTTCTCTGACTCTGACGTGTCCACCTGAGCTGTTTGTGTCCACACTCCCCAGGCCTTCCCTCAGTCCCTCTCCTCTCCACATAGATTCCATCTCATGGTGCCCCAGTGATGTAGAGCCTGTGAGGAGGCCCTTTTCTGTCATGGAGAGACGAATCCTCTTATTTCAGTACGTTTAAGTGTGTATATATGTGTGTGCATGAATGCATGGATGTGCAAGCCCATAGTTTTTAAAGAGACATTATTATTACTTCATAAGTAAATTATTGTTGAAGAATTTTCTTACAAATTTTCCATGGCTATACATTTTTTCTACACTAACACGAGTTAAATAGTATAAGAAGAGTGACTTTTATGTGCACATGTATGCATATATAATGACCTCTATGTTGTTAGCCTTAAACTTGTTTCAAATTGTCTCAGGGAGCCCTCTGTCAGTTTACTTTTGATGCTGTTATAGATGTTTAATGGTTTAGGTTCATTCCAGAGCCTAAACATCTAGGTTCAGATGCTTGTTCTGCCATTTCTTAACATTTGACCTTGGGTGGGTTTCCAGGAATCACAGGGGTCTCCTCAGGAAGATGGGAACAGATCTGTTTTTAACAATTGATGCTGTTACATTTAGTCCCTGTAAAGCATTTAGCATAATGCCTACCACATGGGAAGTATTCAGGACTCTTATTCATTACTGTTGCTATCATTATCACAGTTTCTAGATTCTGGCCTCTAAAGCCATGTGGACCTTGTCATCTCTGAAGATACTACTCATGCTGTAGCTCATTTATTGATATCATTTATTATGTACAACATGATAAGTAACACTTCTTATAATCATGTATTGGTTTTCTATTTTTTAAAAGTTTATTTTTTTTTTAGTAATTTCTATACCCAATGTGGGGTTCAAACTCAACCCCAAAATCAAGAGTCACATGCTTCTCTGAGCCAGCCAGGCACCCCTGATTTTGTATTTTTATATTTTTTATATTGTCCACAAAAATGAAAAAAGCCATATTGATTGAGAGACCTTCCTAACCTCTTATGGAAAAGTATAATAGAGTAAAATAAGGGTCACATAACTTGCTCAGGACTACCTTATGTGTTGGGACACCTGGGCGGCTCAGTGGTTGAGCGCCTGCCTTCAGCCCAGGGCATGATCCTAAAATCCTGGGATCGAGTCCCACATCAAGCTCCTTGCATGGAGCCTGCTTCTCTCTCTCTGCTTAGGTCTCTGCCTCTCTCTGTGTGTGTCTCAGGAATAAATAAATAAAATCTTGAAAAAAAAAAAAAAAGGAATACCTTATGTGGATCTGTGAGAACACCCACTTCATCTGAATTGATCCTTATACATCTCTCCTCTTTTCATTTATGTGAAGATAAGAACTCTCTCCATAGCTCCTTGGTGAAATGTGTTCTCATTTCAGGGATGGTTGACCTTCAGGGACGTGGCCATAGAATTCTCTGAGGAGGAGTGGGAGTGCCTGGACCCTGCTCAGAGGGCCTTGTACAGGGACGTGATGTTGGAGAATTATAGGAACCTGGTCTCTCTGGGTGAGGATAATGTCCCTTCAGCAGTGGGGATCTGCCCTTGGGTATCTTTGCATTTTCCTTTGTTTGCCTCATGGGAGCCCCTCCCCTGCTTGATTGAGATTGAAGCCTTGTTGATACAGAAATGAATGGGGCATCTGGACTTTACATTTACACTTTCTTCAGATGATCTGCGCACTTAATCAGGCAGGTGCCAGAGCTTATGTATGCATAAAACCTTATGAAAAACTTAAAATATCCAGTTCCATTTTTTTCTACCCCCAGTGCTATTGATTCACTAGTTCTCAGAGGACATCAAAACATTCATATAAACTGTTCTTTAAGTATTCAGAGGATATTCAGTGGCTGGATGAATTTTTGAAATTGTTTTTCAGCTTTACTGAGGTATAATTGATGAAGAAAATTGTAATATAAAGTTTACGCCATGATGATTTAAATACACATATATTGTGCAAGGATTTCCATAATCAGGTCAACACACATTACCTCACTTGTTTTCTTTTTCTTTCATCTTTTTTTTTTTTTTTGGTGAGAACACTTAAGTTCTATTCTCTTAGCAAATTTCAATTATATTATCAATCTAGTTACTAGTTGTTCACTAGCTTTTCAGACCTTATTCACCACATCGCTGAAATTTTGTTCCCTTTTATTAGCATTTCCCCTCTGCCTCACCCTCAACAGCCATGCATCCTACCTTGTTTCTAAACGTGACTCCTTCCCTTGTCATCATGCTCCCTTCCTGCTAAATATCTTCCATTTTTTGCTCCACAGCTGTACTATAATTCCTTCAGTTAAGATTGGGACAGCCTGATGGTATTTGCCATGTCAGTTCCTTCTTTATTTCTAAGGTCAGAATTCTAACTGCCCTGGTACATTTATCTTCCCATAGATTGGCACATACAGTTGCTTCTCTCATCTGCTCATTACTTCCTGCCCTCCACTCTTGACCTTCCTTCCATGTGGTCTTTCTTTACATGGTTCCTCAATCTGGATGGACGACACTATTGCTTACTAGCATATTGATTTTGTACTCTTGAACACGCTGATTCCCAAAGGACCCTTCACCAGCCACACTACTCTCACTGTATAAGGAAAGATCCCTGTTTATTCATTGTATCACTGTCTCAGGACAGTACGGAAATCCATATATGCAGAGAGTGACAGGGTACTTAGGATGGCTGAGTGACACTCTTAGCAACATAACACAGCTCTGGTGCCTCCATCGAAGTATTTATTTCTGAGCTCATGATCTTTACTGTGACTTACAGGCAGTCCTGCATAAGAACACATTGTCTGAACCTGCAGGCCCAGGTCAATCCTGTTTCTCTAACTTACTTTCTCTATAAATAGAGGTTAGAAACAGAAACCCCGTGTGCCTACTGTCCCTATTTTAAAAATAGTGATAATTTGGGGGTGCCTGGGTGTTTCAGTCAGTTAAGGATCCAACTCTTGATTTTGGCTCATGCCTTGATCTCAGAGTCATGAGTTCAAGCCCTGCATTGGGCTCCACACTGGGCATGGAGCCTGCTTTAAAAAAAAAAAAAAATAGCAACAATTTACCTCAAGGCTTTTTTTTTTTTTTTTAAGATTTTATTTATTTGAGAGAGAGACACACAGCACACTAATGAAAGGAGGGGAAAAAGGAGAAGGAGAAGTAGACTCCCTGCAGGAAGCCTGATAGCAACATGGGGCTTGATCCTAGGACCCGGGGGATCATGACCTGAGCCAAAGACAGACACTTAACTGGCTGAGCCACCAGGTGCCTCTTACTTTGAGACTTTTAACCATGTTAGCACTATTAGAAGGTTTAGAATATTCCATGTTTTATAGTAAGTCTCAGAAATTCCTTTGTTTAGTAAGATACAGCAACCTTCTGTCATGATTTTAAGCAGTTGGTCTTTTGCCTGTGTCTTGGCTCAGGCTGCCATAACAAATACCATAAACCAGATGGCTTAACTGGTAGAAATTTATATCTCATAATCCTGGAGACTGGCAGGATTAGTGCTAGTCAGTTCAATTCCTGATGAGCATTCTCTTTCTGGTTTAGAACACTGTCTTGCTGTGTCTTTGCATGATGGAAAGAATGAGAGGTAGCAAATACCTCTCTCTCTTCTGATAACAGCCCTAATTCCATTCACAGTACTTCACCCTCATGACCTGTTTACCAGCAAAGACCCCACCTCCAACACCATCATATTGGGGTGGACACAGGTTTTCAGAGCATGCAGCCTTCATTATATTTTGTATGTTTTTATTCTGCAGTTTTGTCCAGTGTTTGATCTGACCTTAGTTAATAAGTTTTCATGCACAAGCTCTTTATTACATATAGTTTGTGTCCAACGAACTAGAAAATTAAAGAACACTGCATAGATAGAGAATTGCTCTATTGCTTTGCTGTTACATAACTGCAGGCATAAAATCATAATTATGGTTTATGGGGCGCCTGGTTTGCTCAATCGGTGGAGCCTTTGAGTCATGGTTTCAAGGCCCACGTTGAGAATAAGATCACTTAAAAAAAAAAAATCATACTTGTGATTTCTGACTCTTTCCCAAGTTACTCTTCTTTATAATGTTAAGTGTTTAACTGACTTCATACTTCAAAAGTGAGTGGTCTTAATACAAATTCCAGTTCTAATACTGTGTGCTGGTTCTAGAATAGAAGCCTTTTTTTCTTAGAAGAGATTTGTTAAGAATTACACAAACTATAATTTTGTATAATTGTGGTTACTTATTATTTCTATCCTGGTTTCAGTACAGGTTACTAGAATATTAATTTTCATGATTTGTGGACGATGATTTTTCTGAATGTATAATGCAACACCACTTGTTAATGTTAAAAAATGGCCATTCCAAGTGAATATAGTTTTATAACCAGTATTCAGAAAAATATATTTCTAACATTGTTGGATTAAATTCTTCCTCACTTCCCCAGTGCTGCTACAGTTCTCCAATTCCAAATTACCATTTATTAGATTACTCATTAGATAAATTTGTTTGGGATTATTTACCATTAGAGTATGTCATACTATGCTTTAGCATGAGTACACAATAAATATGCAGTAAATATATATAGTATTTTTATCTCTTCAAATATGAAATAGCCATATATTTTCTGTGAAGTGGTATGTGATAGAAAAATACCCCTTCTTTTTTTTTTTTTAATTTATTTATTAAATTACACAGAGAGAGAGGCAGAGACACAGGCAGAGGGAGAAGCAGGCTCCATGCAGGGAGCCTGATGTGGGACTCGATCCGGGGTCTCTGGGATCACGCCCGGGGCTGGAGGCGGCGCAAAACCCACTGAGCCACCAGGGCTGCCCAAAAATACCCCTTCTTTCAGGGCTGGCATAAGTTGGCACACTGATTCTTTTTTTTTTTTTTTTTTTGGCCATTGATTATTGAAAGTAGGCTTCTCTAAAATTAATTTGAATTACATGTAATCACCCTTTTATGTTAAAGGATCCTATTTCTTTTGTGTTCCTAAAAATTGAAGAACACAATTCCATTTCATAACTGATTAAAATATGTAGTACTTTTGGTATGTGTTTTTCAGTATGGAATTTTTCTGTAATTAATGGGAAACCTGTGGTTCTTTATATCTTGTAGCTATCACTCCCAAATGTATGATCAAGGAATTACCACCAAAAGACAACAGTAACATAGGGGAAGTATTGCAGGCAGTTATATTGGAAAGACATAAAAGCTGTGACATGGAAGATTATATCTTCAGAGCAATCCAGAAAAATATTCATGACTTTGAGTGTCAGTGGAGAGATGGTGATAGAAATTACAAAGCAGTGCTTGTGACCCTTAACAAAAATCTCACTGGTGGAAGAGTTCAATGTGGTAGAAGAGATGAAGGAAATAAGCCAATGGAAAACAGGTTTGGACTAAGCTTCCAGTCACATCTGACTGGAGTGCAAGTACTTCAAACTGAAGGGAAAATATATGAATGTCACCAAGTTGAGAAGTCTGTCAGCAATGGTTCTTCCATTTCACTACGTCCAAGAATTATTCCTAGTGTCCAAACCAACATTTCTAATGAACATGGGAATGATTTCTTGCATTCTGCATTACTCACACCAGACCAGAAAGCACACATTAAGGAAAAACCTTATGAACATGATGAGTGTGACAAAGCAGTTAATCCCAGTTTACACCTCAGTAGACTTCAGATGATCCATACAGGAGAGAAACCATATAAATGTGATGTATGTGGGAAAGTCTTCAGTCACAACTCACACCTTGCATGTCATCGAAGAATCCACACTGGAGAGAAACCTTACAAATGCATTGAATGTGGCAAGGTTTTCAGTCGCAATTCACACCTTGTACGTCATCACAAAATTCATACTGGAGAGAAACCTTACCACTGCAATGAGTGTGGCAAAGCCTTTAGTGAGTGTTCAGGTCTTACTAACCATCAAGTAATCCATACTGGAGAGAAACCTTACAAATGTAATGAATGTTGCAAGGTCTTCAGTCAGAGTTCAGGCCTTGCAAGTCACCGAAGAATTCATACTGGAGAGAAACCGTACAAATGTAATGAGTGTGGCAAAGCCTTTACGTATAGCTCACAACTCACTAACCACCAGGTAATCCATACTGGTGTGAAACCTTACAAATGTAATGAGTGTGGCAAAGCCTTTAATCAGAGCTCACATCTCACTAGACATCAGATAATCCACACAGGAGAGAAACATTACAAGTGTGATGAATGTGGGAAAGTCTTTAGTTACGATTCACACCTTGCACGTCATCGCAGGATTCATTCTGGAGAGAAACCTTACCAGTGTAATGAGTGTGGCAGAGCCTTTAGTATGTATTCAAGCCTTACTTATCATCAGGTAATCCACACTAGAGAGAAACCTTACAAATGTAATGAATGTGGCAAGGTCTTCAGTCAGAGTTCAAGCCTTCCTAGTCATCGGAGAATTCATACTGGAGAGAAACCATACAAATGTAATCAGTGTGGCAGATCATTTATTCAACGCTCAAACCTCACTAGACATCAGATGATTCATACTGGAGAGAAACCATATAAATGTAATGTATGTGGGAAAGTCTTCACTCAAAATTCAAGCCTTGCAAGTCATCTGAGAATTCATACTGGGGAGTAACAAATGTAGTGAATGTGACAAAGCCTTTATTATAATTTCAAGCATGAATTGACATTAGAGAGTCTACACTGAAGAGAAATCATAAATGTAACATATGTGGCAAAGAACTTACATAGGCTCACAACTCATTAGACATCGGAATATACATCTTTGATGAAACCACATTAATGTAATGTGCATGCTAAGGCTTTTACCCATGAATCAAAACTGATTCTGCATGAATCAGAACATTACAGGACTCATACTGGAGAGTAACCTTACAATGTAATGAATATGAAGGCTTTTTGTCAAATATTCATGCCTTTGATATCATGCAAATATTTATACTAGAGGAAAACCTACAAAATTACTGAACATATAAAGGCCTTTAAAGCAACAGTATATCCTGGGGATTCACCAATTCATAATAGAACAAATAATTCATAATAGGAAGAAGTCTTACAAATGTAATGAATATTTTTATATTTCTTCCATGAGTTTCACAACAATCCACATCAGAGAATTCTTTTGAGGAATAAAATGACTAAGTCTCAAGTTCTCTCAATTTAACCTGAGATAGTACATACTGCAGGTTTTTTTTTAATACAGCATACCACAGAATAAAGCTAAAATGGATTAAAATGCCTGATGGGAAGAAAGATACATATATAGCAAAGATATATAGATCCCGAAGATATTATTCCATGGTATCTTTTCTAAGTCTCTTCTAGTTTAAAGTATTGTTTTACATTTTACATGTAAAGCTGTGATCATTTTTGAGCTAATATTTGTACAGGTGTAAAGTTTTTGCAGAGATTCTCCCCCCCCCCCCCCGTATGGGAAATCAACTGGTCCCACATCTTTTTTTTTTTTTTCTCTCTTCATTTAATTTCCTTGGTATCTTTGACAAAGCTCAGTTGGAAGTACTTGTGTGGGGTTATTTCTGGGTTCTCTATTCTTTTACATTGATCCATATGTTTCTTACCCCACAAATACAATGTAGTCTTGACTTCACTATATTAGAAATATTGAATGATTCCAGCGACCTTATTCTTTTTCAGATGTTTTCGCTATTGTAGTTCCTTTGCCTTTCCTTATAAATTTTAGAATAATCTTGTTTCTCTCTATATCTTGGTAGAAATTGCATTAAACCTGTGTGTCAATTTGCAATCATTTGACATCATTTCTATGTTTTATCTTCCAATGACTGTGGTATATCTCTATTTGTGTGATCTTTTGTAGATTTTTAGCATCAAGATCCTGCCGGTGTTTTTTTAAATTAACCTATGTTTGTACTTTTCCCTTTTTGAGCAATCACACACATTGTGTTTTTGATTTGTTTCCATGTGTTAATTGCTACTGTGAAGCAATAAGAATTTTAAAAGATTTTATTTATTTGTTTATTTATTTAAAGAGAGCATGGATGGAGAGAGGGGCATAGGGAAGGGAAGAAAGACAATCTCAAGCAGACTGCACTGAGCATAGAGCCTGAAATGGGGCTTAGTGTCACCCCATGTCATGCTTAGTCATGAGATCATGACCTAAGCCAAAATCAAGAGTCAGACATTTAAGCAACTGAGCCACCCCGGCACCCCAAGGTAGAATTTTTTTTAATGTTGGTCTTGTGTCCTCAGAATTTACTCATTTCACAGGGCACCTGGCTAGCTCAGTTGGAAGAGCATGCAATGCTTGATCTCTGGGTCATGAGTTCAAGTACCGCATTGGGTGTAGAGCTCACTAAAAAAATAAACTTTAAAAAAAAGAATTGACTAATGTCACTTTATAGATTTATAGGTTCTTTGGGCTTTTCTATGTATACTGTTTCATTAGTTTCCTAATGTGACTGTAAGAAATTACCACAAACTAAATGGATTAAAACAATAAAATTCTCGGGATCCCTGGGTGGCGCAGCGGTTTGGCGCCTGCCTTTGGCTCAGGGCGCGATCCTGGAGACCCGGGATCGAATCCCACATCGGGCTTCCGGTGCATGGAGCCTGCTTCTCCCTCTGCCTGTGTCTCTGCCTCTCTCTCTCTCTGTGACTATCATAAATAAATAAAAATTAAAAAAAAGTATTAAAAAAAAAAACAATAAAATTCTCTTACACTATTCAATTTAAGACCTCTAAAATGGATCCACAGCACTGTTAAACTTCTTGATATTCCAGCAAAGAATATGTTTTCTTGCACTTTCCAAGTTCTGGAAACTGCTTATATGCTTTGCCTCATGGCCTACTTCTACCAAGGTAGTATCTTGATATCTGTCCATCCTGGTTCTGTCAGAGCAACAACTTCTCTAAGTCTCCAATTCCAACTGGCATCTTTGTCACATCCTGATTATATCATGTCTATCAGATAATCCAGGATCATCTCCCACCTCAAGATCCTTAACTAGGGCACATTTGCAAACTCCCTTTTGACAAAGAATGTAATCCTCACCGTTTACAGAGATGATATACCTATCTTTTGTGTGTGTTGGGGGGTGGGGTACATTCATCCTACTGCAACCACATAACCTTCCATGAATGGGTACGCTATTACACCTTACTTTCTGGTCTCCACTTTTCTGTCCTTAATTTAATTGGCTTTAGCTTATATTGACTAGCAGTGATAACAGGACATTGACACCTTATCCCCAATCTCTGTGGAGGAATTACTCAGTCTTTCACCATTAAGCCTGATGTTCACTGTACAATAAGGTTTTATAGCTGTTCTTTATTGAGTGGAGGAAGTTTCCCTCTATAGGTTGAGTTCCTTGTATAGTTTGAATATTAACACCCTAGATATATAGTGTGCAAATATTTTCGCCTAGAGATTGCCTTTTCATTTTTTTTTTAAGATTTTTTTTTACTCATGAGACACACAGAGAGAGAGAGAGGCAGAGACACAGGCAGAGGGAGAAGCAGGCTCCATGCAGGGAGCCCGACATGGGACTCAATCCCGGGTCTCCAGGATCACACCCTGGGCTGAAGACGGTGGTAAACCACTAAGCCACTTGAACAGCCCTGCCTTTTCGTTCTTGATAGATTCTTCTGCTGTGCAGAGACTTTTAAGAATTGTTTATTTTATTTTTTTACTTATTTGAGAGAGGGAGAGAACATACCAGAGAGAAACCACAAGTGGTGAAAGGGAGAAGCAGACTCCCTGCTGAGTAGGATGTCCAACTCAGTGCTCGACACAGGGCTCCATCCCAGGACCCTGAAATCATAACCTGAGCCAAAGCAGACACTTAACTGAATGAGCTACCCATGCACCCCTGTGCAGAAACTTCATAGTTCATTGTGGTCACACCCATCCATTTTAGCTTGTTTCTCCCTGTGCTTTTGGTGTCAAATTCAAGAATTATTCCACAGGCCAATGTCAAGAAATTTTTCCCATTTTTTTTCTAGGAGTTTTACAGTTTTCAGGTCTTGCACTTTACATTTTTGATACTTTTTCTAGTTGATTTTATGTATGGTGAGATAAAGGTCCATTTTCAACTTCTGCATGTGGATAAAGAATCCAATTCCTCCTGCACCATTTATCAAAGAGATTATCTTTTCCCTGGTGTGTGTTTTGGCACCAGTTTTGCAGATCGGTTGGCTGTAAATATGTGAGATTATTTCTCCCCTGTCTAGCTGGGGTCTTGTAGGACCTAATAGAGAATTATCAGTCCAGTTTCCCTCTAAAATAGCCTTAAGGAATTGGGCTCTCTCACCCCTCCCGTTTGCCTCATCCTTATGTTGTCCTTTCTCAGAACTGCTTAGAATGGGGTTGGTGGGGGGTTGCTCCTGCCCATCAATTGCCAGGCACCTAGATGCAAATAAAGGAGTACAAAGAACTTAAAATTTGGTAAGTGAATTTGTAGGGTTTTTGTTGCTTCTGTTGTTATAACCTATGTTCTAAGAGTTCCTTGTAGCACCAAGTCTTCTATTCCTAGGAAGTCCACGGGTTGCTCCACGTGTCAAAAATAGAAGTCGTGAATGCGAATGAACAAACCATCAGAAAATTCCCTTGGTGCCATTTCTCTCTACCCCCTCTCTTCATGCTCATTTGTTTTTCTAAAGTAATTTCTATGCCCAATGTGGGGCTTGAACTCATGACCCTGAGATGAAGTTGTATGCTCTACCAACAGAGCCAGCCAGGTGCCTCTCCATTTATATTTAGCTACCAACACACTTAAGATAATTTTTAATCATCAACAGTAGGGTGAGCTGTTTCACCCACAACACTACTGAGACCAAATGTGTGGGGTTTTCTCTACACCAATTTTCCAGCTCTCCTGACATCAGGTGGGTGTCATATAATTCAATTCTGAAACCAACTGCTTGGAATTAGCACAGATCCCAGAGATTAAGGACTTGGTCTCACAACACTGACTCCACTTCAGATGCCAATCCCAAGTCCTGGGCTTCCTGTACTTCTGACCTACTAACTCTAAATAGCTACACATTCCAGTATATTCTTGAGGTAGAAGGAGTGATATAAGGGATCACTTCTCAATTCTTTATTCCTGACCTTAACAGAAATACTTATAACATTTGGCCAATAACAGAAGGCCCTATGTTCATTGCAGTTAATCTATAGATCAGATTAACTTTCTTCCTCATCCTATGTACTGAGCATACATTTCTATTTTAAATATAATGGAGTGTTGAAATATTTAAAGTGCTTTCCTAAAAATGTTAGCATAATAGAGATATGTTCTAATCACATCACAGTAGAGTGTATTACACCACAGTCTATTAAAATATAGGCATTACTGGAGTAAAACCTGCTTAGTCATATTGTATAATATAATGATTCATTTTGCATCAAAACTGAAGTCAAACTGCTTTATTTTTTATGTCTATGAGGGATATACTAGCAATACTACAAAACTTTCATGTTTTCTTCTGTACTGAAAAAATCTGTAAATGAAGAGAACTGGCAATACTTCCAAAGAAGTGGGAACGTTTCTTGTAAGGTGTTGAATATTTCAAATTTTTCAAGTTATTTATGTTTTTCTGAACATTCTAAAAGATTTTATTTTATTTAACGAAGAGCGCACACAAGCAGAGAGAGAGAAGGGGGAGAGGTAGGCTCCCTGCTGAGCAGGGAGCTGAACATGGGGCTCAATCCCAGGACCCTGAGATCATGACCTGAGCAGAAGGCAGACGCTTAACTGACAAAGCCATCCAAGTGCCCCCATTTTTCTAATTCTTTTAAATTCTAGTTTAGCAATCTATATTTGTGGAAATTATTCTCAATTTTCAAATTAAGATATAGTTCTTAGTAATTTCTACAAGCTTTGAAAATCTCTTATTTAGTATTCATGTGTCTGCACAGTATTTCAGAAGATCTATTATATCAATTTTGATAAGACATTAGTTTTATGTCTTTTTCTACACTCCATTATATTTGCTACAATTCTCATTTCTGCCTTTGTTGGATTGACACTATATCTTTTTTAAAACTCTTGAATTGGACCTGTACAACATAAAATGCCTAGTGATGTATGTAATTTTTAATGTAAATTTATGGCTAACTTATTCCCTTTAAATACTTTTTCATTAAATAAATACCACAAGTTTGTACAAGAATTTTCTTGTCTTTTCATATACAAAAACTAGTTATCAAAACAGTGACTATCTTTTAGGTTTTTAATATTTAAAAATTTCTGAAAGTATAGTTTTCCATATACTATTATTTGACATAGGATAAACATCTAATTATAAAATATCCTATGGTTTTTGAAAGTTTGTGATATTGTTGCAAAATGAACCTTTTAGAATCTCTAAAAGATTTTTTTTTTTATTGGAGTTCAATTTGCCAACATATAGCATATCACCCAGTGCTCATCCTCATCCCGTCAACTGCCCCCCTCAGTACCTGTCACCCAGTCCCCCCGTCCCCCTGTCCACCTCCCTTTCCACTACCCCTTGTTCGGTTCCCAGAGTTAGGAGTCTCTCATGTTCTGTCACCCTCACTGATATTTCCCCCTCATTTTCTCTCCAAGAAAGGATTTTTTAAAATAATTTTTTTCATGTGTCAGTACTTTTAATGTTGTATACATCAAATTATAGTAAAAAGATGACTATAAACAACATGCAGCCCCTCTATTTTCATGAACAGCACAACAGATTACAGTAAACCAAGTTTATATTCCACCATCAAGTGTGGTTCTCCCATTAGTTCACTTTGTGACGGGTCATTAAGAATATCTTCAAATCCAATAGTCTCATCATTACCCCTTAAAATATCCAATGAAAGGTTTGAGCTTGGAAGAAATGGAAGACGCTGAACCTGCTGCACTGCCTTGAATTCCATTTGTAATTTTAGTGGAGCAAACAGACCCTGGATGTTTCTTAGTGTAGAAAAATTCATTTTATCTTGGTTGAGCTGGAAATTTTTTTCTGATAATTCAAGAGGATGACTGGGCAAAAGTTCATTTTTCACACAAGGTAGACCTTTTCGAAGAAGATCATGCTGTTCAAAAGGTCCACTTGCTGAAAGTTCAGTAACTGGAATACTGTCCTTCAGCTGAGATCCAAGTCCTCTGGCATTCATCTTCACTTGCTCTGTGAACAGCCGCTCGGCCCTATTACCGTCCTTAAAATAATTTTTTAAAGATTTATTTGACAGAGAGCAAGAGAGCACAAGCAGGGGGAGCAGCAGAGGGAGAAGGAGAAACAGGCTCCCCACTGAGCAGGAATCAATTCCAGGACCCTGGGATCATGACCTGAGCAGAAGAAGGCAGATGCTTAACCAACTGAGCCACCCAGACACCCCTAAAAAAACATTTTATTCAAGCCCAATTTAGGACAACTGCCCCAAATCAATATTGTTTTGTTCCATAAACATAAACAAAACACTCAGGTTATTCACCCTCACTCTCACCTCTGCTGTTGTGGAAATGGTAAAGGTCTCACCATGGATATATTAAGTAGGAGACATGGGAGTCCAAACTCACTCCTCTGCTTCCCTCAAGCTAACTAACATCACTTTAATACACAATATTCTACCTTCTAAATATCCTAATTCCTACTTGGATTTTATCTCGTCATATTTCCCAGCTGTCTCCTGAACTCTTTAAAAATATCCTACAATGAGATACCATCTCATACCTATTGAGACAGCAACTATAAAAAATTAGGGGTGCCTGGCTGGCTTAGAAGATCATGTGACTCTTGATCTCAGGGTTGTGAGTTCAAGTCCCATGTTGGATGTAGAGCTTACTTTAAAAAAAAAAAAAAAAGATCTTTTTTCTTGTTTATCTGTGTCATGTCAATTTGATTCTTAGCCTAGCTAGAAGGTCTCTGAAGATAGAGGAAACTCTTCTTCCCCAATAACCCCAAAGAACTAAACATATTCAATGTGACATTTGTACAAGTATGTTCAGAGCAACATTATTCGCAATAGCCAAAAGGTAAAAGCAACCCAGGACATTCATGGACACATAATGGATAAATAAAATGCAGTATACAATGGAATATTAGCCTTAAAAAGGAAGGAAATTCTTTTGTGTGCTACAAACTTGAGGTAAGGTTATTGCTAAGTAAAATAAGCCAATAACAAAAGGACAAATACTGTGTGATTCTATTTGTATGAAATACTTGGAGCAGTTGGATTCACAGAGCCAGAAAATAGAATGGCATTTGTCAAGGGCTGGGGGAGGGGAATCGTTTATTGCGTACATACTTACAGTTTGCTGGATGGAAAGAATCCTGGAAATGGATGGTGGTGATAATTGTGCAACAGTGTGTGCATACGCTCAATGCCACTGAACTGTACAGTTAAAAACAGTTAAAATGTTAAATTTTATGCATATTTCACTACCATTAAAAATAAGAAACACATCCCGAGAAATTTTCTGTGTGTTTTTAGTTTAAAGCTTTTATGTATTTATTCATGAGAGACACAGAGAGAAGCAGAGACAGAGCAGAGGGAGAAGCAGGCTCCATGCAGGGAGCTGGACGTGGGACTTGATCCTGGGACTCCAGGATCACACCCTGGGCCAAAGGCAGGTGCCAAACTGCTGAGCCACCCAGGGATCCCTCTGTGTGTTTTTTTAGATAAATATTTTACTTTTAAGTATTCTCTACACCCAACTTGGGGCTCAGACTCACAATCTCAAGGTCAAGAGTCACATGCTGAAAAAAAAAGTTACATTCGCTACTTCCTGAGCCAGCTGGGTGCCCTGACATCTCCTGTGTTTAGTTTATTGCCTTATTTTCATCATTCAGCTGATTCTTGCCATAAGATACAGGAAAAAAATGTATGGCAATCTCTCCCCACTTATAAACAAATGACAAGGTCTTCTCTTAGGCTTGAGGTAAAAACACATAGTTGACCTTCAGGGTCATGCAATATCTGATACATTATTCCCTCTTCCTGATCCATCTCAGGCGTGTGAATCATCAAAACCAAAGGTTCAGGGCACGTGGGTGGCTCAGGTCATGATCTTGGGGTCCTGGGATTGTCATCATCATTGTCATTGTTGTCACCTCCCTGCTCAGTGGGGAATCTGCTTCTCTTTGTCTGCCTCTCCCCCCAGCTTATGCACGCTCTCTCTCAAATAAATAAAGAAAATATTTTTTAAAGGTTTTAAAAAGCTACAAATAGTGTGGATATTATTTTGGTCAAGAAGAGTCCTAGTAATGAACTAGGGGTGATGGAACGGGAGGTGGGCGGGGGATGGGGTTGACTGGGTGACGGGCACTGAGGGGGGAACTTGATGGGATGAGCACTATATGTTGGCAAATTGAACACCAATAAAAAATAAATTTATTTAAAAAAAAAAAAGAGTCCTAGAGCAGTATCCTGAATCATTTTGCTTCGTAATGTTTGTGTTGCTCCATTTACCAAACATGTGCCTGAAAAAAAATATACATAAGCATGTGCAAAATCCAGCACAGGTACAGAGAGATACCAGTGTATTTGGGAGCTTTAACTTTAAACTCTATCCGTGTGGCATTTCTTTTTTTTTTTTAATTTTTTTTTAATTTTTACTTATTTATGATAGTCACACAGAGAGAGAGAGAGGCAGAGACACAGGCAGAGGGAAAAGCAAGCTCCATGCACTGGGAGCCCGACGTGGGATTCGATCCCGGGTCTCCAGGATCGCGCCCTGGGCCAAAGGCAGGCGCTAAACCTCTGCGCCACCCAGGGATCCCCCGTGTGGCATTTCTGGGACTGATGGTGGTCACCAGGAAAATATGAGACAGGTGGTGCTGAAGAACACACCCCTGCTACTCTGTGAACACAGGAAAAAAAAGTTTGCATCCAGAGTCACCAGGGAAATGTTTCAACCCCAAATCTGTCATTGGGTGGGGCCTATTATGCTTTATATAGTGATTAAAGTAGAGTCACTTAGTAATGTTTTGTGTGCAATAACTGATTGAATCGTCCACTCTCTAAATAAGTACTGTTGTTTTATTATTTTTCCAAGTGAGGAGACCCTAAGCACAGCGTGTACAACCATTCTAGCTCACATCCTTCCAGATAGCATCAGAAACTGGATTTGTGTTTTCTAGCTACAAAGGCAAGTATCTCAATCGTGATGCTACATGAAAAAAAGTAGTTTTACTCAGGTCCTCACCTCAACATCTGGACTTAATTTTGCTGCTATCATTTGCCATTTTTAAGTAGTTTGATCTTCATGAGTAATTGTGATTCTAGCAATTATATAATTATGTCTATAAGCTTATCGTATTTTTTTTTGCTTATCGTATTTTTTAAAAAGATTTTACTTGAGAGAGAGAGCATGGGTGGGGGGAGGGAGAGAAGCAGGCTCCCCGCCCCCTCCACCCCGCTGAGCAGGGAGCCAGATGGAGGGCTCCATCTCAGGACCCCAGGATCATGACCTGAGTCGAAAGCAGACACTTAACTGACTGAACCACCCAGACACCGCTATAAGTTTATTTAATAGGCCAGTGTTACCTATGAATATTTAAAGATGCAAATAAGCTGATAATACTCTGACTACCATAAAATCCTATAGAAAGATGATCTAAAATGAATGTTGGGTTTATAGGGACAAAAATGGCTCAATATTGATGATGGTGATAGAAAAGGTGTCCATCCTTATCCCTGAAACAAGCATACACGGTGGCAATCACCAAAATCTTTGTACTACCACATAGTGGGCTAATATCTGGATTTTGAAACATGTAGAGGAGACAAAGTGTGATTAAAATAGAGGCTATTTTTAAATATTATTGATTATATATGATATAACTGATTATATATGATATAATGAAGGAGGACTAAATGAAATTCTACTAGGAATGACATAATAATTATTGAAATAGATTCTTCAAGACAAATATTCAAAATGACATCAAGAAGGCATGGAAACAAATGCATTGTATAAGTTTAAATAGTAGATTCAATGTGAGCTTAGGACTGCTATCTATTTATTTTGGGGGGTGGGGCAAGATGGCGGAGAGGTAGGGTCCCCAAGTCACCTGTCCCCACCAACTGACCTAGATAACTTTCAAAACATCCTGAAAACCTATGAATTCGACCTGAGATTTAAAGAGAGAACAGCTGGAACTCTACAGAGAAAAGAGTTTGCACTTCTAACAAGGTAGGAAGGTGGAAAAATAAAAAAAGAATCAAGTGGGGGAAGGGGCTCCCCCCAGGAGCCGGGCTAAGGCTGGCGGCAAAAGCCTCCTGGGACAGGAAAGCCCAGTCCCAGAGAAGCAGGAACTTTAAAAATCCACACAGTATTCTTTCCGACGGAAAGGTGCTCAGCAGGGAACTTGGGCTGAACCGCAGGAGGGGCAATGGAGTCTCCAGTCTCCAGGGTCACTAACTGGAAGTGCACCCGGAGGAGAGCCTGCCACAGACCGAGGGCCGAGCTCTGTAAAGGGCTAGAGCACGAGCCTGGTGGGACCTTAGGAGAAGCTCAGGCAGCGGCTCCGGGGGAAGGGGCTGTGCCCTGCTGCCTTCAGGAGCCCCGGCCCCAGGAGCACAATTCCAGCAGCACAGGCCCCGGATCCCTGGGCGCTGAGCAGACACAGCCCAGGATCCTGCGCTCCCCCCGGGACAGGCAGAGGCTGGAGGACACAGGACAGCGAGGACTCTCCTGCCCCCGGGGGCCCCCAAGCCATGCAGGTCAGCGCCCCCAGCCTCTGGAGCATCCAGACCAGTGCGGACTTGGAGACTGCAGTAGTTACTGTGGGAACTGACCCCAGGTGGAGAGCTGGCCGCTGCCAGTGTTGTTCCTCCTGGTGTCACCCTGTGCCTAAGAGGGAGGGCCGCCAGGGAACAGGGGCCTCACAGGATAAACACTCCCACTGAGCCATGCACACAACTGAGAATATGCACAGCAGTCCCCTCCTCCAGAAGACCTGCAGGAAGGACAGGGGAAGAGCAAGTTCCTGGCTGAGCACTGCTGGAAAGCTCCAGGGGAAGTTGCAGATTTACAGTATATAGAACCAGAGGATACCATTCCTTGTTTTTGTTGTTTTGATTTTTGTTTTTTTTCTTCCTTTTCCCAGTACAACTCGTTTTTAGCCACTCTGAACTGAGCAAAATGACTTGAAAGAAGAACTCACCACAAAAGAATCAGAAACAGTACTTTCTGCCACAGAGTTACAGATTTTGGATTACAATTCAAT